TTAACTCCATAAGTCCGAATTGGTCTTATTATAGTCATATAAATGAGTCTTCTCTAATTGATTGGAAGTTTAGATCGTTTTTCTAGTAAGTGTTGGAATAAGCGGAAACGTCGAGATTTTTCTTGTCGTTACAGTCTCGTATGAGGATTCCAAATGAGTCGTTTGTACAGGTGGAGTCCTAGGTATCGGATTTGTTGAACAGGGATAAGTGGAGTGTTATTAAAGAATACGGTAGGACAGGAAGCCGTAGGTTTACGACGATTTGATGGGATTTATTTCAATCCTCCAGTTTTGACACCATTCTTTAAGGTGTGATGTGTGATTGAATGGTTTGGGATGGTATTAATTGATCCTTATTAACTGAAAAAATACATGTGTCATCGGCATATATGGTGATGACAGTCTTAGGATGGGTTGGGATATCAGCTGTATAAACTGTGTAAAGGACCACTGTTTTAATTTATACATGGAAGTGCCTACTTGTCGATTTTAATTTATTTTTCAAATTATTACCAAGTATACTACCTTGAGGAACTGATTGAGAAAAGAGAGCAGATTAAGAAAAGAGGTAAATACAGTATGATATACCATATCAGTTATACAAAAAAAGAATTAATTTTTAATCTATTTTTTGGAAAATGTAAATCGAATTCGGTCGAAAATTTTCAGGGGGATTGTGGGAAGAGGGAGAAGAGGGAACAACCATTTGCACAAGTCCTTTAATTCTCTTTTCATCTTCAATAGCCACTTGGCTTCTCTATACTTTAACCTAGAGTAACTTCTCAGCAAAAGAAAAATAATAAAAAAAGAAGGAATATTATTATTTGACAGTTGCAGTATCCGTTGCTGAGGAATCTTGACAATTAAAGAAGAAGGGTATAACGAAATTATAAAACAAATAAAGTGGCACATTCTAATTGTAACCAATAAATTTCGTTATGAATATTAAAAAATAAAATATTTTCATAAAATGCTACTTATATAACAAACAATTATAAAGAGTATATTTGTATTCTGTTTATTTTATTAAAAGAAATAAGAATAGACAAAGATATTCAAAAGAAATTAATCCATGCTTTGAAAAACCTATAAAAAATTAATTATTTCCTTTGAATACGACAACTAGTTAATAATATTTTTTTATTACTAATAATAAAATAATTTATTTGTCTTATTTAGTAATATATTTTAAGTGAAAGTATAAAACAAAAGATTAAGCATAGATACATCAACAAATAGAAATTGTAAACAATATGGTAATACTGTTTTAATTCATTGAAAAAAAAATATATTTTTCTTCATATTTTCATCTACACCTGTCATAAGCTTGACAACAAGCAGATGTGCTTTGAGTATTAAGAAAATTGACATTTTAGGAAAAGATAGTAGCCAGTTGCACTTCTTCCTGGTCTTGGTTTACTTCCTTAATTCAGGGAAGGAGATCTCCCATCCAGCTCCTTTTCAGTCGTCTCCTGATGGGCATGTCAGCTGTGGCCATGCCGTTAATATGTTAATGAAAAATTTGAATGCGCAATTATGGATGTATTAAAAGGTTATAATTGCAGTCAATGTATTTTAGTTTGTTCTCGAAGATAAAGAGTAAAAAAGAACAAAAATTAAAGATCCCTAAATTAAACTTTTTTAGTATTCCAGTGATAGAATATATTAAACGTAGTTCATTTACTGTATTTTATCAATTATATGTAATACAATTTGCTGCTTTTATAATCTTCTAAATTTGATAACAGAGATGAACTAATGAAAAAAACCTATCAGGCCTGTATTAGAGGTAATACAGTCTTCTTCATTATTTAATAGTTTGGGAATAATAAATTCAGGTGATGTGGTGTTCAAACCCAACATCCTTAAGCTGTCTCTATTAATACATCAATCGATCTTTTCTTTCATTTTTCGATAAAGCAAATTTATTTAAAAATTGAAAAATAAAAATTTCTTTTATATTTTTCTAAAAACTAATCAAATAATGTATTATCCCTATTCGGGCTTACATTATCTGGAAAAAAAGAAAAGAAAAACGAGTCATATCGTCGAACATTTAGGCTTAGCTCACTGAGAATGGAATAGGTTTGATTCTAATCTAAACTTGTCGTTATGTTTTATTGTAATACATTCATAAAATCATAAGAGATTATCGATTAACACGAAAAACGAACGTAACATATATATTTAATTGCGTAATATTTTAAGTTTATTTTATGTTTACAGTTACAAGTTAAATAGTTTTTAAAAATATTGTTACAAAACGAAACTACAGACCTGAGGCCGAATCATATCGATTAGAGTAGAACGGAATAGACTACTCGACGGTACAAAGCTACACAAGACTATACAAAGTTTAATTAATGGGGCTAAAGAAATTAATTGTGTTTTAAGAAGCTTCCTTTGTAGAATAGTGTTAATTCGTTGTGCAAATAATTTTGAATAAATCATCCATATAACCCAGTCTATGACAGTAAAATCAATGGCAGTAGAATATCGTTAAGTTTGATAGAAAAATGCTAAGACATTATGACCTCGTTTAGAGGAAATGAAGCATACTGATCGAAGAATCATAAAGATTCTTACGACATGATTACCTGGTCTTTGACCTCCTCTGGACGAGTTAATTAAACGCATTAAATAGCTTGGACAGGTGAGTTGGATGAATAGTGCGTGATTAGCTAAAGCATTGTACCACGGAAAAGAGGATGTGTCCGACCTGGTAGAAAACCGAAAAGAAAGTTAAAGATATCGGTGGTGGAGGAACAGAAGAGGACAAGACTATCTTCCATACGAGGAACGGCCAGAGATGACTAGGAAAACGCAGCTTCTTGCGCATGTTATATTTATGGCCGGAATTGTTAATCTTAAATAAAAGTTTATTGAAATTGGTCTAAATTTTATTATATTAAAAACACTATAATGGTCAAAGACATTTTTAGTCATTGATTTACAAATAAAATTTGAATCGAATGATTTTGTATGCCAGGAAAATTCTTACAGGCTCAGATTGGACAAACGCTTTGAAACTAATTGTCAACTACGCATATGTATCGGGCATATGTCCAAATAACATGCTCCTCGACACCCGCCGGCACAATAATATAAAGTATCGAAAATCCAAATTCCTGAACACAAAAACTTATAGATGATTCCTCGATGTTAATTATCCGGAAACGCAAGACTCAGCAAGATTCTGTGACATTTTGGCCTTCAGTGCGAAAGGAATGGAGGCTCTTACAATTGATCCTACAATTAGATATGAGTCAAATTATTAGCAGCAAGATTTTAAAATCCAAATTGAGAAGGAGGATATATATAGCATTTCTAAGTCAATTTCAAACTTTTTCAAGTCAAATTCAATCTTTTCGATTTCAAATTAAATCTTTTCCAATTCAAAGTAAATATTTTTTGTTATTTATTCCATTTTTCGATGTATAGGTCAGTTATCGTATGATTAGTTTTTGAAAATATCCAGCATTTTAAGATTAGGCCACTGCTCTTCGATTTAATTAAGTTTTTCGAATTTATTTGACATAAGGGTCTACCTATATGTTTCCGGGGCCGTAACTTTTGGAAATTGCCTCCATTATAAGATTCGTCCACTGTGTTTCGACTTATTAATGTTTTTCGGATTTATTCAATATAAGGGTCCACTTATATGTTTCCGAGACCGTAAATTTTGAAAATGACCTCCATTTTAAGATTACGCCACTGCGTTTTAGCTTCTTTAATTATTTCGAATTTATTGGATGTAAGGGCCTGCTTATCAAAGAAGTAGTTTTTGAAAATGACCTCCATTTTAATATTAGACCACTGTGTTTCACTTTGTTTAACTTTTTTTGTTTTTTCTTCGAAAAAAAAATACGAAGAATTAATTTATTTTTTAGGTGAAGTAAATAAACTATCTGTTTTAAATTTAATTTTAGTTTTCTTTTGTTAATTTTGTGGTATCCTCTTACAAAATTATAAGATACGAATTTCGAACAATTAGCTGAAGAATCTGAAAATGGTAGGTTACATTTAGTACAAGTTGCTTTTTCGGCTTTCTTCTTTGTGTTTTGTGGTTAATTTAACATTAGCTTCGTAATATTTATTTATTCATACTCGAAAACATATTGATAAAACTTTGTATTGAAACAAAATCCAAAATGAAGCTAAATTAATCAAGATGCAATGGCATAATCTTGAAATGGATCCTGTTTATATAAAAAACTTACTACAACATATTGCTTAAATTTAATTTGTATTGTAAATTTTTACTGAAAGCTTTACAGTAAATTTTAGTCATTTACGATTAACAGTTAAAAAATATTCATAAATAATGACTGAATAGTTAGTGGTTAGTAGTTTGGAGTCTCTACGAAAAAAATATTATTTTCAAATTAGTCATTTTATATTTATTACTACTAAAAAAAATTTCATTAGCTATCATTATTTTTGTGACTAAATAGCATAATTTTTGCCCAAGCCTGTTAGATTGAACATGATTATTTCTTGATTATAAACATCCCTTCATGCCCTTCCACATTAACATCCCTTTTTTGTGGCAGATAATTTGACGGGAATATCATTCATTAAAACAATCCTGCTCTTTTTACCTTGTCTCACCACACAGATACCTTCACCCAACAGCAGTTTTCATTATTTATTATTTTAATATTCCTTAAAACCGGTAAGAAAAACAGCAGAGTTTACACTGTTCTTTCAATCAATGATTAATCTCCTGTTTGTTAATCAACGAATGGAAGCAATCTGAAATTGTTTAAATTACTCGTTAATGGCGTTATGAATAATTTAACTTGGATTAACGTAACAATTAACACATTTGTTATATATTAGCTCCTTGAATCATATTCGGCTTTTATAATACAGTTTCGATGAAAGTGAGTTGGATTCTCGAGGCTCGTATTACAATTCTAACTGTTGGAATTACCTCTTGTATGGCTAAGTGAAGATCCGAAAAGCCGCCATCTCTTTAACCTTTAACCTTTGACGGAATGCAAGGCAGAGATATGAAGCTATCCCTCTCCACCTTCCTACCACCACTCTTCTCCTCGACAATAGCTCCTCTTCCTCAGAGATGGTAACCATTTCAAGGAAAACATTCTGTTTGAAGAGCAAGTTTCTAAAGGATTCCTGGGGCGTAGAATACTGTTAGGAGGAATAGTACATGGCAAAGGGGTGGATGATAAGGAAGGGCGTTTGCAAAATAATGGAAAGTTAAAAGCATTTAAATTTTGTGTTTAATGTATACAAAAATAATTCTCTTCAGCAGTGCATATTTATTACTTGACCGTATAAATGGATGAAGAGATGGTCTGGAAAGGCAGCCAAGAAAGGACTCTAAATAGTATTAATTATTTATTAACATCCACCTTTCAATTTCATTTGTGGGTCTTTAACGGAGCTAAAATAGTTCAAAACCATGTAGAATTATTTTTGTAATGTTTATTTTTAATTATTAGGTGTTTAGCATAAACATTAATGGCTAGTAGAAAATGAAATATCTATGAATAATGTAAATAATAAAAACATGGTTACTTAAATTTAAAATAAATACATCAAAAGAAAATCAAGATAAAGTGAAAAAGTAAATATTTGACACAAATGGAGAAATGAAACAAATCGAAGATGGAATAAAGTCAGCAAAAGAAAAAAATATTTCAAAAATTGATTGATGGAGATAAACTGAATGATAATAAAACACTGGGGGAGGGGGAGGGGTACCCCCTTCCCACATAAAATCGGACTCACCCCATTTTACAAATTATACAAATGGAAAAGGTGCATAAAAGTCAGAAATCGTTAAGAAGAGAATAGTTGAACATCCGCCAGAAACTTCGTAAATAATTTCATCTAATCGTAACCTACAACTATTTTAGTTACTAAAATTCTTGGAATTGGATTGTTTTTAATCTGGATAGGGGCAAAATTTGTCATTTTAATTAGGTTTTAAAAACTATAACTTGGTAAATAGTTTCATCTCATCGTAATCTACAACTATTTTAATTACAAAAACTCTTGAAATTGGGGCGTTTTCAATATGAAGAGGAGGCCAAACTTTGTCTATTAATTAGGTACTTAAAATCGTAAATACACATTTCCTTTCAACTTGGATCGTAAGATAATCTGATCGCAAAGTCGAAAAAAGAGGTGGCCTTCAAAAATATTGAGCCGTTTGGCGTGACCCGCACCTCCACATTTTCGAAATATAGAGGTTATATAGGACAAACTGCCCAATATTTTTGTAGGCCACCTTTTTTATCGATGTTGTGATAAATTTATCTTACGATCCAAGTAGAAAGCAAATGGGCATTTACGAGTTTTTAGTAATTAATTAAATAGACAAAGTTTGCCGCCCTCCAGATTAAAAACGCCCCAATTCCAAGAGTTTTCGTAAATAAAATGGTTGTAGATTACGATGAGATGAAACTATTTACGAAGTTCCAGGCGAATGTTAATAATTCGATAAAAATGGGTCCGTACCACGGACTATTTACATTCTGAAAAATCTATTGTGGGATTACGGCGCACTATCCGGAAACCCGCACGGCGTTGGTGTTCTGCAGGCATTCTATCTTAGTGGTATTGGTGGGAAAAAAGTAGTCTAAGTAAAAAGTATAAAATTATAATGTATTTTACTCAAATACTCATATGGTTTATTGATCGAGTACTTTAATCACAACTCGACTTGATGACTGACAAGTATAAAACTACTCGTGTTACTAACTACTAAACTACACAAAATTGTGTAGATATATTAAATACATAAATACATTATATTCATACATTAAAAACTACTCAGCTGTTCCTGTGAGTACTTTCCATTTTCACATTTACTCAAAATTATTTTACTTTGAGTACTTTTCAAAGTAATCGAGTACTTCATTCGACAAATTACGATAGTAAAATATTTTAAATTACTTTAATATTTATGTCCATTATAGTGTTAGGGGGGTTAAATTTTTTTTAAATACTATCAATAATAACGTAAATATATAAATTTTTCGACTTATTAAAATATTTCAGATTTATTCCATAATAGGGTCCATTATTATGCTGTCAGGGCTCTATTAATAAAATACTGTCGGATTTAAGAATGTACCATCAGGTTTTTGCAACTTTTCGGATTTAATCGATGTATGGGTACACTACTATGTTTGTCGGGGACGCTTTTTATGAAAATGCTTGCGAATTTGTGAATACGCAACCGCGCATCAAGTTTTTGTAATTTTCGGATTTGATCAATATCAGGATCCCTTATTATGTTGTCGTTGACATATTTAATGAAAATATTATAGGATTTGAAAATGCGCAACCGCCCATCAAGTTTTTGTAATTCTTCGGATTTAATCAATGTAGGGGTACACTACTATGTTATGGGAGACGCTTATTATGAAAATTCTAACGAGTTTGAAATTAAGCATCCGCGTTACTTTTAGAATTTAATCGATATTTAAATCAGATAGTATTGTCATAAAAAAACACCCCCAACAACATAATAGTGGATCCTAATTTAGATTGATGCGGAAAAGTTACAATAACTTATTCACAGTAGCGGATTCTCAAATCCGACAACTGTTTGTTAAAACGCACCCCCAAAAAAATGATAGTGAACCTTAATATTGTTTAAATCCAAAAAGTTACTAAAGTGGTAGTTACTAAAGTTACTCCAAAGTGGATGCGATGTTGCGCATTCTCAAATCAGACAATATTTTCATTAAAAGCGCCCCCGGCGTCAAAATAGTGGACCCTAATATTGATTGAAACCGAAAGGTTAAAAAAACTTGACGCGCCGTTACGCATTCTCCAATCTGATAATATTTAAATAAAAAGCGCCCCCGACAGCATAATAGTGGATCTTAATATCGATTACTGTGTCTTACATAACCCCAATATGAACGCCATTATTCAAGGAATTATAATAAAATATCAATACTCATAATAATGATGTAGTAGTTGAAAAAAAAAAAAGTACTCAAAAGAATTTGGTATTTACTGTAGTTGGATACTACAGTGCGAGTACTTTCTGTACTTAACTAATTATGATCAATGCAGCGTGAGTACTCTCAGCACTCACCGCGATCGGGACGAGTAAAGAAACAACTTGCTACTTTTTCGTAATAAAAGTACTCAAATCATGAAAATAATCGAGTTCTGCCCATGTCTAAAATAAAATATCGGTCACTAAATACTTGTTTATATAATAGACAGATAATTGATCTCGGTGACAGAGCGTACAGTCGTGACGGACAAATAGATCAATATAGTAGTGTGGGTATAAAGTATGAATTTCGGGTATAACAGACATTATGGTGATAAAAAAGTATTACGAATACACATTAACTAATTAAAAGATAAGTTTATAGTGTTAGCAAATATAGTGTTAATTATTAAGAATATTATACGTAACGTGTATTACCATATAATTATCTTACAAAGTATAGATGAATGATATATATATATTGCATTTAATTTCTAAGCATTTCTTAAAGCGCAGTCACATCCCAAAGTTTGGAAACTTATGTTAGTATACTTGCTGCTTCATATTTTACATGAAACTATCTCAAAAAGAATTTCATCGTTATTAGGATTAAAAATTTAGTTAATTATCATCACGCTATATATTATCCTAAATAGGTTTCAATGTGTCACATTTGCTGTGGATGAAAAAGTAATGCTTCCTGATGCAGCGTTAAAATTTTAACGTATTATTTACAGCTTATATATCATTGGTTTATTACAAAATGATATTTCATAACCTTATATCACTAACAAGTTTGATGAATTCTGCATTTTTTAGAACAGGAAATTCTGTGTAGTCAAAGATAGTCCTATGATATATTTAAAAGGATTTGTACAATTTTAGTGCTTTTCCTTTTTTTTTTTTAATGGTTAACTAAGGTCGAAATTCACAAAAACGTTTTTAGAAGTTCAATTCCATAAGAAATGTGCTTAGTGACTTTTTGCAATAAACCGACTATATACTGCACAATCTAAATATCAATGATATAATAATATATTTTTTCCTCAGGATAAGTGAGTATCATGGATACATTTTTTGTTTACCTTTTTCTCTACTTCGTAATTTATTATTTAATACGGACATTTTTCAAACATAAGGAAGTATTATTTATAACTAATAATGGTCCACTTATTATTATTTCTTATAGATAAAATATATTATTCATATTATATATTGATTAATGTTGGAGAAATGATTTTCCGTGTAACTAGTTGCAGGAGAATTCGATTTGAGAGAGAAGAATCCGGCCAGTAAACAAAAAACACACAAATAAGTTTTAACGTTGGCACCAGTCAAAATAAGTTTATATATTTTTATGTAATTTTTTTTATAACCAATCCAATCAATTCTCCTGTCAATAATTTTTAATGTTCTTTATTTACATATGTATATTATACATATATTAGATTCTAATTATATCATTTATAATAAAGTGAAATACAATTTTGTTCTAACGACCACCAATATAAACAAGTTAATTTATTATGGAGTAACAAAAATATATATACCTGTTCCGGTGATAAATCTTGTTAGAAGGAAATTTTAACAAAAAAAAATATTATTTTCAAAAACTTTCTTTGAAAATAAAATGTATATCTATAGAGAATAAAACAAAAAAAGAAATTTCTCAAAATGTCCCCCTTTTGCCTTGGCACAGGCATTTAATCTACGTAGCCAATAATAAATAACAGCACATAGCACTTCTTGAAGAAAATGCTCAACTGCTCGGACCAGAGATTGTTTGAGACTTTCCAAGTTAGCATGTGTTCAAAGGTATGTCATCCTCCCAATTCGGACCAAAGCTGATAATCCAGTGGGTTGAGAGCAGGGCTTCCTGAGGGCCAATCCGAGACAGAGAGGAACTCTGGAATGTTCTTTTGCAACCACTGCTGAGTTGATCTGGCCTTGTGAGCTGGAGTGGAATCCTGCTGGAAAACACAATGACTTCCAGCAAACAAATTATCATTTAGAGGCTTGACAACAGGTTCCAAAATATCGACCTGTTGGTTTTTAACTCCTTTTTTTACAAATATGGGGCATTGTGGTGCCATCAAAGCAAACTCTCCAACAAAACATCATATATAGAAAGGTGACCACTTTCCACTCTTCCAATGACTTCCAGGGCTTCTTTAGTAAGAGTCCACGCGATTGTTTTGGCGAATGAATTTTTCTTCAATTGTAAAAATTTTCTCATCGCTACACAAAATCTTTCCATGAAGACCATTAGTGTAACGGCCAAGTAGCACTTTTCATTTATCCACTCTAATTTTTGTAGGGGAGTGGTTAGTCTTTGTCCTGTCTTTCTTCGAAATGCACCCATCCTAAGGTCAATTTTATTATGGGAGACATTGATCTGACAAATATTTTCATTTCCAAAGATACGATTTGTTGTTTTCGAATGGGATTTCTTTTGATTCGAGCAGCCACTGCTCTCAATGTATTTGCTGTTATCACAGGTCGGGGACAGCCTAGTCGAGGTCTGTCCCATACATTTAGGGTCTCATTATATCTATTTATAGTGCGGTATACGAACATACGGCTGATACCGAAAGGTTGAAAAGTGTTGAAAATCTCTGACCTATATTTTCCAACTTTGTGTAAGGTGATCACAGCTATTCGGTCTTATTTATCACCCCACTCTATGTTAACTGAGCTAAAGAAAAGTACAAACTAATTGGGATTGTTATCTTGACATGTAAAAAAAATACCTGATGAAGGTAAGGATTTTCTAAATAATACCCAAGGATGTAAACAATGTAAAGAATGTAAACAATTTTGTAACAGTATTTATGGCAGAACTAGGTATAAATTATATAATAGTCATTATTTATTACGATAATATTTTAGTCCTTTAGCCGCAGTAAAATTACTAACAATGTGTAGATTATGTAGAAACATTAAACAAGTTATTAAAATCGGTCAATGTATAAGATCCAATAACCTTTAATCTCTTCTTGTTTCAGGGTGCCCCCCCAGATGAACCTTACCCTCCTCAACACCACCATCCTTAACAGCACCGAAGTCCAGGAGTTCCGCTACTCCTTCCCGGTTACTGTATTCTTCTGTCTCGCCTACACCTCTGTCTTCATCATAGGTGTCATCGGAAACGTCTTGGTAGTATCAGTAGTCTTAAGGACTCCTCGGATGCGATCTCCCACAAACCTTTTCATCGCCAACCTCGCCTTGGCTGATCTTCTGGTAAACTTCATATGTCTCCCCTTCACTCTCGTCGGAAACGTCACGATATGTAAGTACTGTTATTATAATTTCTCTTTTCATAATTTCTATTTTCATTATGTAAGATTATTATTACTAATCAGGATTTAGACAACATTATTACAGAATGATCCAAAGATTTTATGATTCATTCCGTCTTGGACCCCTCCATTTTCCTGTAATGTTGATTTTATTACCTTCTCCAGGGCTAAGTTAAGAACAGCATCGGTGATAGTGCATCTCACTGCCGTTAGCCCATACGAACTTTGAAGGCTTCAGATACTTCTCCTTGTATTAGGACTCTACATTTGGGGGCATTTGTACACCCCGTTGTCAATCCCACCAATTTACCGGGAACTCCCAGTTCACTCATCATTTTCCAAAGACAGCTCCTGTCGAAAGAATCGTTGGCTACTTTGAAATCGCCAAATAGAGCGTGGATGTCCTGAGCTACCTCTTGTCGTTTTTCGAGTACTTGTTTTAGGATGAAGATATGGTCTTGCGTGCTCCTCCCGCTTTTGAATCCAGCTAGGTGGTAGCCTATTATATTCTCGTAATAAAAATATATCCGGTTTAGTAGGATATTATCTTGTAGGCACCAGAGCGCTATGCCTCTCTACTACACTGATTTATGGAGCCTTTCTTTAGGATTGGACAGATTAGGCCTGTATTCCAAGCCTCAGGTATCCTTTCCTCTTCCCATATTTACTGGATTAGTTGTAGTAGCTTAGCTCTTAAGTCGTCTCCACCATCTTTAAACAGTTCTGATGGCAGGTTGTCTATATCTGGGGCCTTTCTTGTTTTGAGCTTTTCGAAAGCTATTTCTACATCCAGTATATCTGGTTTTCCAACCTCTTCTGAGTCAAGGTCTTCAGTGTGGTCCATGTCTTCATCGTTCGTGGGGTCCCTTTGATTGGAAAGTTCCTGGAAATGTTCTTTTCAGATGTTCAATATACTTTCTTTAGGTGTCGTCAGAATGCTATTTTCCCTCGAATATATCCTACCCTTTCTTTCATAATGTCTGGGTAGAATTCGCGTATATCTTCTGCCAGATGTCCTCAATGGTTTGCAAGCTTTGTTTGAGGAATTCCCTTTTTGCGGATCTTATATTTTTGTTTGCCTTTTTCTTGGCAGCTGATGTAACTTGAAGGCAGTAACTTGATCAATTGTAGGCAGAGGACTTTCATTTTTCTCCTTTTCTCTACTGCCATTTCGCATGATTCTGAGAGCCATATCTTAGCTTTTCGTTTTTCTTTAATACCGAACACTTGCTTAGCTGTTTCTTTTAGTCCTTTCTCTATTTCCTCCCATTGTTGGTCCACCGTGAGGATATCCGAATCCAATGATTGGAATTTATTTTTCAGCTCAAGTTGGAATTTGGTTTTTACTTCAGGATCTTTCAAATTACGGACTTCTTACCTCCTTCTATCCATTCGATCCCCCGTTGTGTGAATTCTCTTCAATCTTTGCTATAGGTTAATTCTAATACAGTAAGAATCAGATAAAATAAACATAATTTACCTATAATAAATATGAAAAAACTATGAGTGAAATATGAAGATATAAGGATGATAACAAATTCCTTAGGAATAATTATTCTTTGTTATGGATATTATTCTAAAACTTCACGAAAATTTAAATATGCTATATTATAATAAATTAATTTTTTTCTTGCAGTAGTGAATAGTCTCAATTTGCATTTTATCTTGGAAACAGTCAATTTTTTTTTAAGAAAAGGAAATAAGATGATGCTGTTTGTTATTTGGAGAGTTATTTGAAACTTTGATCTTGAGAGGGGAGGATCCAATATTGACAGTGGGCTTAGTAATGAGACTTGATACAATGGGATCCCTCCAGTTCCCGATACAGCCCTCATTGTAACTCCAAGCCCTGGGGGCGGGGTGGCCGAATAGGCTAAAGCGTGTGTAACAGTACCGCTAGTTGCCTGGCAACCCGATAACAGAAATTTGAGATGATATAAAAAGTACGAGTTCGCGTCCCGGTGCCGGAGGGGATTTTAAATTTCCCCGCCCTCACCCCCCGGCCCGGGAAAATCCCGTATAGCCTAAAAGGCGAGGTAGGGAAGAACAAGAAAAAAAAAAAAAAAAAAAAAAAAAAAAACTCCAAGCCCTTTTAATTTACAATGTTTATTATTTCATTTTGTGGTTAAATATACTCTGTATTTTTTTTCTTTGTTCCATAACCTCATAATTACGTCTTGAAATTCTTTATGGATATTGTCATGAATATTTCTATGAGAATGATAAATAGTCAGGGTTTGCAATTCAGATATATATAGAGTCGATAAATGTTAGATAGTCTTACCAACGTTTTGCCCCAAGCATGTGGGTTATCATTAGAGATGACAGTTAAAAAAAGCAACAAATATAACAGAATTAAATAAATTAACCATGATAAAAAGATGAGCAGTCCGCATAAAATACTAGCTATACAAACATAGTAATTATAACAAAGAATAACAGTAAGTACGGTAGTAGTATGAGGTATAGATAGTACGCATGAAAACAGCCTGAAAAAAAAGTAACAAATAAATAGAAAGAATAAATTAACTAATTGATAACTACTAATAAAGATATTAAACAAATAAGAATTGCGCATAAAACAACAGATTTAAAACAAATAAGGTGAACTTTTTTATGGTGAAGTACAGTCCGATCTTAATATATAGAAAACCCCTTGATTCCGAGTAAGCAAACATACAAAAATTAAATTCATGTTTTATCGAAAGAGTCTTGAATTTCATTTGAATGGACTAGACTAACCCACACCAAGTTTCAACATTCATACATATCTACTTAATTAGCAGTATTGCAATAAATGCGTTTAAGTAGCTAGGATCGTTTCATGCAGATTATTTTTTTTACTAAACAAATTTTTATAATCCAGTATTTTATGAGTTTGATGCTTTATTAAAATTATATATTTTTTTTGTCTTTATATTTCCATCCACACCTGTCATGAGCTTGACAATAAGCAGATGTGTTGTAACTAATAGGAAAAATTAACATTTTAGGCATAGGGAAAAAAATAGTATCCAGCAGGATTCACGAAGGATTCAGGAAACGAGATCTCTCATCCACCTCCTATTTAGTCGTCTCCTGATAGGCATGTCAGCTATGGCCACGTCGTTAATAAGTCCATTTTGATGTCCGCCATATTATTTAAATTTGATAAATGTATATTAAGTACAAGCATTTCAACAATAACTTTTCCTCTTAATGAAACTGTTTTTTTCACTTTTCTGTAGGGAAAAGAAGATGTGACGAATATAATAATTGTCTCCTACTGAAAATTTAGCATTGAATATATAAAAAAAGAAACGTCAGACGTCAGACGTCCCCAAAATTTTAAAATTCTTACAAGGACACTTTTGATCCTGTAAAGCCTCTAGAAAAATAAACCAATCCCTGAATATGTAAATGGAGGCTATTCAACAAAAGTATCCTGAAAGTGGTGAATATATCGGGACGGGGACAGAATGCCTTTTTAAGCAGACATGGAGGGAACAAGGGTCCCCATATTGATGTCAGTTCTGTCGTCAAGTAGCAGCTCCGCTAGAGGGCTCTCCCGCAGCCTATGTTTTAATTATCCATCCCTCACCTCTCTTAGTTGATAGTCACTGCTCTCTAAATGATTAACACCTATTAAATTGTCCAATTGAAAATATATAAACATAATTTCATTTACAATTAACTACGGTGAAATTCGACAATAAAATCAAATTACCATTTTCCATATTGTGGCAGGATGTTATATTACTCAATAATTAAGAATTCAAAAACTTTTTAAATACATTGGGTATCATAGTGTATAATTTATGTATATTACAATGGAACATGTTGTTTTATGTGATACCTGTTTTTTGAAATAAGTGATTTATATCCATATATTACCACATTCCGAAAACCTGTAAATACATTCCTTTTAGTGTTGCCCAATAACGGCCTTGGTCTTGCACTTTGCAAGACCAAGACCAAGGCCGCCTAACTGCTGCAAGACCAATACCAGGCCTGATAAAAAAAAATCGAGTTTTTAAATAAAAATTAAGGCAAAATACTTCACAATCTTAGTTATTATATGTAAATAATTGGTGTAACCAATATACTTTTGTATTTAACTCCTCTAATTTTTCATTCGGGCTTAGTTAGGTTTCGCTTATCTAAAAAATTACTGTAATATCTCTATAGTAATAAGCTAATATGTAACTGCAAGACTGTTACAAGACTCTTGCGTAAGACCAAGACCATGACCAAGACTGAGTTTGCAAGACCCAGACTCGTCTCGGTCTCGCATTTGGGCAACACTAATTCCTATAGCCATTAACGATTAATAATTAGGCCATCGTTCCTATTCAGAAATAAATAGCAACAATTATTTAAAATATTACATTTTTCTTTAATATGAAGTAAAAATAGAATGGAAAATGTAGTTCATGTTCCTATCTTAGACCTAAATATACTGCAGTCGTTTCTACTTGAAATAAGCTAAATAGACACAAATTTATTATTTTATGATTTTTTTTATTATATAAAACATAATTAAGAATTTAGTGTGTGGTTTGAAGACTTTTTCGTTTTAATATTAATAATAGCCCCATGTGTTTTCCTCAAAGACTGGTCCTATGAAGCTCTTTAATTTGCAGAATTTACTGCTAAGTTTTTAGTCTCTTTTATCTTGAACACTTATTATCCGATTCAAAGCTTCTATAAGTAATTTAGTAATGAAGATCAGTCAGTATTGATAATTTTTAGTTTTTTAAAATTATATCTCTGAAAAATCATTTTCACCTTTTAATTGTAAGGGAAAATACGTATACCACTACAAACCATGAAGTGTCTTGATTTCAATAATTTATAATCAATTACTGTACCAAACTTGACAACTATACAAGGAAGTAATTTCGGCGCGATCCGGCTGAACGGCGTTTTCTCGAAGTGTCAAAATGTCCTACTCCGTGCCTATTATACATAAATATAAATAAAAAGTCGATCCATCTATTTGCTCAAAATAACATTTTTCGAATTGCTTAAACACATTTTGTTTAATCAGGGGATCGTATTTTTGCTCAAATATTTTCAAAACAATTAAGGGAATCTCATCGAATAATATGAGCCATCAAATTTTTAAATGGATCCAGTCGTTCGCTTCAAAAATCGTTACAAATCTTTTTGCAAATTGAATTAACACATTTTATTTAGCAATGAGTCAGTGTTTTTAGCTCAGGTTGTTTCAAAATACTCAGGACATCTCATCGAATAGTTTGAGCTATCAAACTTCGATCCAGCCGTTCTCTAAAAAAAATTTACATAGCTTTTAGTGGAGGACCCAAACACATAACCCTCGCGTCGTTTCGCTTAGTTGGATAATAATTATTTGCCACTGACATACCCAAACTAGGATCTCCAGAATAGGAACAAACCTGAATAAATCTGCCTTACACTCAGAGCGTAAGCGCTCCCCTTACTACAACAACAAAACATCAACAATTTAATTAGACAATATCTGAATACACTTATATATTTTTACTCTCACTTACTATATGTTATATATAGTAAGTATGAGGATTTCGATCGTGAAATTTTTTCAATCCCGAGTTCAAATAACCAAGTATCGGATAAATTGAATAAAGTAAAAAATACTTATCCAGGCCGAAAATGAATATTCGCAAATAATAGTCAGAAGGTATATGTATAATATATCGTTAGAAAGCGGAGAAAAAAAGCTGGAAACTAATATTATGTAACGTAAATCACATCTTTTTAAGGAAATTAAATGAAATTTTCTTACTAAATGTATACTTTTAAGATTTTTTTAAAGTTTGAAAAAGTATTTAAAATCACATATTCAAGGCAATGACACTGTTTAAGATACTGTTTTATTGTATTTGTGTGAAAGAAGAAGTGAAATATAAAAATATTTTATAGATACGTTTATAACTTTAAATGTGTTTACTGTAGTTTAATAATTCTAGATCTAATATTAGATCTAAATATTTAGGTATCTATCGTCCGTTTATTCCGAAAAACCATCATGTAACCTTTTAGAAAATTATATTATTCCAACAGTATCCACTTAAAATTGGTGTGACAACTTTTGACCTGTCTATGACACACAATGAAAATCTCTTAATTCCGTTATAATAAACTTTTGCAGGGGAAAGTGACAGTTTAATAACTAATAGCCGTACAATCCATGATCAACAGATCGTACAATCAATAATCAACCAGTGGTATAATAAATAGGACTTTTGTTATTTTAATGGTATTTATGATTAGTTAGCCGTATTTTTTTTAGCTTTAGCTCGGTTAAAAATGTAATTCAAAAATTGTATAATAACCTGACATGGCCAGAAAATAATTTCTATTCAACGTTGATTCAAAAGGTAAATGTTGTGTGCTGCGCGCACCAGATTTTTACAACATCAATTGGAATAATCAATTGGGGAACATTTTATTTTGAAGCAGACGACTGAAATTATTTTAACCTGCATAATGTTTAGTGGCACATGCCGATAATCTCCATGAGTCCCATCTCACAGCTCAAGGATCTTCGTGTAGCGTCGGAGACCATCAATCAACCCACAATCAACAAATTTATTTATCAAATCAATCATTTTGAATACATGATTAATTTCTATAATTAAAATTTATTCTATCATATACTGTCTTATAAGTGATCGCCAATTAGAATTATTTCAGTATATTTGATCATTTTAGTCATTTATGTTCTATTTAAATAAATCAAAATAGTTACTAGTAAGTTCTAATTAAGTTCTGAGATAAATCCTAAAAAAAAAAAAAAAGTGTCTTTTACAATACTTAAATAAAAACAGGAAGATAAAAATACTTCTTAGCGACAACCATGCTACTTACTCATTTCTCTCATGGACGCATCTTGAATACTAAATAGATCCTATTACATATGTTATTCCCCACACACTACGTATGGTATCTTCTATACAATTTTATTCCACTTGATTCACCACTATTTCATATTTATTTCACATAAGAGAATATTATAGTACTCTGTAAAATAAATAATAGAGTATTGTGTTAAGTATTTTCTAATTAAATTTATCAATAAATAACGTTTTAGTTATAAATAACTTGTTCCAGTTATAAAATAACTGTGTTCTGTTATAAATAATTTGTTTCAGTAATAAATAACTGCTAAGCTTATAAACCTTTAAATGTTTATTCATTTCTTTTCTATAATAGGTTGAAGGATATGTGTTCATATCTTCCAATAATGATGATCTTTTTCCTAATTTATCACCAAAGTTCATTCATCCATCTTGAGTGTTAGAATAGATTTTTTTTTTATATCCTTTAAATGTAAATTTGTAACACATATAGTTCTGCTTCTTTTGAGTTATATACGAGAAAAAACTCAACACAAGGCTTTTTCTTAATATGAAATATTTAGTTTCCGTTAAGCAATATATAAGTTATTTGTCATTAGTTTTTCGTCACTTCCGTTTATCTTATTTATACTACTTTTTATAAAAAATTTTTTTTATAAAATCCTCTGCTTTTTAACTAGTATTGTATGTATAATGCATATTTTACTAAAAGGATGTTCTGGAAACATTTCTTCTTTTGTTATTTAAAATTTATTTTAATATCTTGCACAGGTATTTAGGACAAACGCAATACAGGACAATACACACACTAACACAGTAGAAGATGAATTTACAACACCATTATCCTTATTACAATCCCCACTATCATTTTATCTAAAAGAAATATACAAAGAAATAAACAGTCTTCCAAATGAAAAATTGCCTGGCTATGATACAATCATTCCTTTCATTCTTCGCCAGCTACGTCAAAAAGCTGTTCTCTTCCTTACGCACGTCTATAACTCTATCTTACGCATAACCTATTTTTCTCTCCTTTGGAAACTTTTCACAATTAAAATGGTTCCTAAACCTTCAAAACCTACCATTACTTCTCCATCTTATCTTATCATATCACTTCTTCCTATAATGGGAAAAATATTTGAAAAGCTTGAAACCGTCCAAAGCCAATCCTAGAAAGTAGTGAAGTGATACCAAATTACCAGTTTGGCTTTCGTTGTTATCACTCCTTTGGACAACGGATAGTAGACGCTATATCTGTTTCTTTCGAGAAAAAGGAGTACTGCTCAGCGGTCTTCCTTGACATAGAGAAAGTATTTGATAGAGTCAGGCACGATCATGTATTATGGAAATTAAAACCGCACTTGCCTTATACTTATTTTCTAATTCTTCAATCCTTCTTTCTTAACAGGTTTTTCTGTGTTCCCTTAGAGTATTCTGACTCCTCTTTCTTCCATCAGCACACTGGCGTACCACAAGGTAGCGCGTCTTAAGTCCAAATTCTCTATTCGCTATACACCTCTGATATCCCAGAGCACCCTAGACCAGCATCTATTGCTTTGCTGACAACAGTGCAATTCTTTCTCCTCTCGAAAATCCTACTATCGTATTAATTACCGTCGATTCAAAACCAACTCGGTGATCTTCAAAAAGGACTCGAAGAATGGAAAATTAAAATAAATAGTAGAAAATCTACCCAAGAAAAAATTAAAAAAAAAATTAAGTTTGTGCTCAAGATGATTTTGGGATGAAAAAAAAATATCAAAAAAATGATGTACCTTCGAACACATTATCTATTTAGCTGATGTGTAGCACTAAAGATAATGTTCTGTAAATATTGTAATTAAGTATGAATGTTTTTCTGTTTATATATTTATTTGTTTTACTTATGACCTATTAAATTTTCTACCAATTTCTGTATTTTTTAAAAATTCTATTTCAAGTAACATTTCTTTGGTTTTATAGTTTTTGCCTTTGTTATATGGATATATATTTTTATTTTTTATTTATTTATTTTTATTTTTTTATTTTTCATGTATTGTATATATAGTATGAATGGGCATAACTCAGCTTTTGTACTCAGTGCCCTTAAATGTGGCAAAATGTATTGTTTCTCAATAAAAATATTTATAAAAAAAATATAATGTTAGGATACAAGTTGGTCAATTTTACGTCACAATACTTCCTCTTACTATATTTTTCATATATAAATTACCGAAAGTAAAAACCTATTCATAACATTCCTTGAATTTTGTTTTAAATTAAAACATAAAGCATGAAATGAATCGGAAGTAAAAAAAATGAACATTTGTTGTGTTCGGTCAAAAAGTAATATTCTTTAGTGGTTTCCTTTCGCTTGTTTAAAATTTAAAAGTCTGAAGTTTATTTTAGTTTTAAATGGAAACATCCAATGATAACACGTTAATTCAATATTCCTATGACAGGGGATTAATTATGAAAAATGAATTATTGAAGAGAGGCTGCGGTTTTCTATAATGCGGCACACAGCGATCAAAATAGAAGCCGAGAATTAATATTTAATGTCACCGCAGGAGGAAAAGGTCACGTTTTAAATATCATTAAAAATTTACTTAAAGTTTATTCCATTAAAACTTTGCCCGGCTCAAAATATAACGCCCCCGCGGTGACGATGAACTTGGTATGTTCTTGAAGGTGAAGAAAGTTCACTGTAGCATCCCAAAGGTCAAGAGGGTACTTCCAGTAAATTTGAAATCGAATATTAATATGGAAGGTTGTTTTTGTTTCCGCCATGTAAATATTATGTTATTTATAAAACATACTGTAGCCAGAGGGTATATTCACAAAACAAACGAGAATACTCACTCAGGTATTTCGGAGAATAAATGGATTTTATTTGTTAAACTTTTGTATTTCAATTATTTCTTGGAATTGTATTTACGGCTGTTTTTAGTTTATAAAACGATTTCCATGTTTTCGTTTGACTTGGATTTACACTCTCGATTTATTATTTTTGTATGTTGTGAATTATATAGATCTATAAATTAGATATATCAGTAGATATAACTTTTATAGATCCCTGTATCTTTCTAACCAGAGTTTCTGGGTTACCAGATAACAGAGAAGATGATGTCAACTTCCCGATGACTTATATACTACAACTGTCGAAAAAAAGCTAACTGTGTTAATACTTCTCAACTTTTCAAAAGCTTTTGAGTCCTTATACCACTCTATACTTTACACTAAATTAAAATCTCTATCCTTCTCTAGCAATTCTATTCTTTGATTTCAATATTTCCTTTCCGACCGGACTCAAGTAGCATTTCAAACCAACACCTCGAAACTGCATATCACTTTCATACCTGAATGTCAATAGGTACCCTTAAGTAATCCCATCATCTACTCCTACAACCTACCCGCAAGCTCTTTGAATCCTCTCTTAATTTCTTCCGCTTTTACTACGGCTGTGTGGTGTACGCAGGCATTCTCGTATGTCACACCTTTACGACAAGTTAAAGTGACTCTTTCCTTTTTCCCGCCGACAATAATTCCTTGGTCTTACCTATTTCAAAAAATCAAACCCGGCACCCTTCCTACAGCTACAGTCCTCTATAGTGCAAACCCGTGGTCCACTCCCCGAAAAAAAGATCCCTTGTTTCCGACATTTCCATAGAACTAGAATATTTGAACATTCTTTCATTGCCCGATCCACTGCCTTGTGGAATTCCTTGCCGTCTGATATCCGCCATGCCTCTTCCTTGTCCTTATTCAAATATCATCTCTACCGATTCCTTCTTACATCATAAAATGACGCTTTGCAACTGAAATAAATTTTATGAATCAAATTTTGATTGAGATGTTTGTGCAAAGCTATTGTGCCCGATTGTCGCGTTGAGGTGAGTGGTAGGGGTAGATCAGATCAGATCTGAAAGATAAAATTTAATCCGTACCAGCCACAAGAAACCGCAAACTTGAGGACTCTCAGGTAGTATGATGTCTATCCCAGTACAAAAGGGTAAGAAAATATGAACAACACATATGACCAACCACTTCATCAAAATACAGTCAACTGCATAAATAATTCGAATGTTGCCAATAAGTTGAATGTTCTACTTTAGTAAAAGAAAGGACAAAGCTTAAATTATATTATTTTACATTATTTTTCAACTTATGTCTTCCGATGGTTAAGTCCTATGCAATAAGGGTAGCCTACGTCACCTCAACATTATTTAATCCTTTGGTTGGAAATGCGCAAGAACAACACCTGACTAATGTCTCGGAAAAAAAAATAACATGACCAAAGGATACAGATTACAAGTCATGGAAAACTTGTACCAAATCATTAAATGCGGTCAAATAAATAACAAATTAAAAAAAAATGGTATTTTTAATTGTTACGCCGACGTTTCTACCCACCTTGCAGGTCTTTATCAGTGCGTGGCATGTGGCATCAGGAAGCAGGAAGCAGTTGATAGACTGACCACGTGCCACGCCCTGATGAAGAAGACCTTCAAGGTGGGTCGAAACGTTGGCGTAACAATTAAAAATACTATTGTTTAAACATTTATTTTTAATAAATTTACTCTTCGTACATTATATTAATTATTTTCATCCTACCTCCCTTCATACTAAGACATTATACTACCCACCGACCAGCTCCTCATTTTTTTTTTTAACTTCACGCCCAAATACAAAGCTTCCTTACTTTTGTTAGGCAGAAGGCAAAATTTAAAAAATATAAGGAAAGTATAAGAAACAATATGCAATCCTAAATAAACATGTAAATAACAAACCTGTCTCACTCGATGCGATTTTCTATTGTCAATGTAAATAACATAAATGTTTGTAACATTTAAAAATATATAACATTTACTTTTTTTTATTATTGATTTCTTCATTGAACTTCTAACATTAAAAAAATTTAGTCCTTTCAGTCAAAAGTGTTGAAAGGATAGTTGACCGTGCACCGTTTTATGTCGCATATGATATACTACATAAAGATTTAAATGTAAAAACAATTTTAGACACTACAAAGGAAAACTACAATAACTTTTACCAAAGACTGACGTACAACATGAATCCTTTCACGAAAATCCTTTAACGTATAAGAAACCCGTACAGCCCACCAGGATGACTACATAGGCGTTGGCCAAGAGACCTGCTTATCTGATTTATATCCAAGATGTGATGTGAAGCTGCGGAAAAATTTGCTCATTGCAAAGAAATTTGCAGATTGCAAATATAATTTAATGTTCAACATTCATTTGAGTTGAGTTATCATATACTCATGAATCATCATGTACTACTCATGAATACGTGCTTAAGATTTGTCTTGGGTACATCGAGGCGGTCTCATGTGTCCCACCTTTACGACAAGTTTAAGTGGCTCTTCCCTTCTTTCCGCAGACAATATTTCCTTGGATCTTTCCTATTCCAAACAATCAACACCAGACACCCTTC